CGGGTCGGGAACGCCGGAAGACGGCCAAAAAGGCTCCCAATAAGCCCCCAAAGGCTCCCAAGAAGCCCCCAAGAGGCCCAAGGAGGCTCCCAAGAGGCCTGCAAAAGGCTCCCAGGAAGCTCCGCAGAGGCCTCCCAAGAGGCCTCGCAAGACGGTTCCCAAGAGGTCTCCTCCTCCTACTCCTCCTCCCCCCCATCATCCTCATCCTCATCCTCATCCTCATCCTCATCCTCATCCTCATCCTCATCCTCATCCTCATCCTCATCCTAATCATCATCCTGCTCCCTCTCCTGATCCTCCTCATATTGCTCCCCCACGCTTTCCCCGAAGGCTTTCCAAACCGACTCGGGGAACAACTGGCCCGATAGCTTGGGCAAGCTCTAGCCTAGCTGTCGGCCACATAGGCGCTTCCAAAGGGCAGGGGGCGGCGGTGATTCGCCGTAGGCGTCTTCGATAACGCCAACGTCTCAATATGCGCTGATGATTCCTATCCGCCCCCGCAGGATGCTCCCAGGTGCACCAAGCTAGCGCCGAGACGCACCGACGCGGCTCTGATATATCCCATCATGATAGAGAGGGGGCCGGCGGCAGGGGACGAAGCCCTTACGGATTGTTCTCGGCATACAATCCAACCCTGCGTCATATTTCGAACAGGGATTGGATGATGAGAGACCTCGAGATTTGTTGATCTGGCGTATCTAGGTTTCACCGCTGATGCCAACCCGATTTGACAGCAAAGGCAACTACCACAGAAAGCATTTCGCACTCCGACGATTTCCCGTTGCAAGCAAGGCACGCGACTCACCCGAGGGATAGGCTTAAGGAAAGCTGTGTGGGCGCACACGGAAACAAAGATGAGCGTGATGCTTGTACATGTGTATTGCTTTTCTTCGCCGTATAAATGCCCGATGCTGAAAACTGACAGCTTCCCAACTGATTGGAATGTTGTTCCAACATGGTAGAACGGGCCGACAAGGAACAGGAGGAGCAGGACAAGGAGGAGGAAGAGAGAGAGATAGAGAGAGGATCGACGCTCCGGCAGGGCAGGTGGAAGCCGAGGCTCGCCACGGCCACCTCAGCCACTCGGCGGGATGAAGCGTGCTCAATGGAGAAGAGTTGGAGGCCATTTACAATACCGAGGAACCCCACACACCTCTGTTATGGACTACTACTACTACTACTACTACTACTACTACTACTACTACTACTACTACTACTACTACTACTACTACTACTACGACTACTACTACTACTACTACTACTACTACTACTACTACTACTACTACTACTACTACTACTACTACTACTACTACTACTACTACTACTACTACTACTACTACTAACAATACTACTACTACTACTACTACTACTACTACTACTACTACTACTACTACTACTACTACTA